ATCTCTGTGGATCTGTGAATTATAGCTTGATTATCATTAACTTTGTGACTATGATCCACATATAAGTGAATACATACCATATTTATCTTTCTGGTCTGTGAAAAATAGGTGTTGGAATTTTGATGGGGGATTTCCTGTAAATTGAGTTTGGTAGGATGCTAAACCTACTGATTCGTGAACATGGGAGATCTTCTGATGTTTTGCTATCTTCTTCAATTTCTTTCCAAAAAATGAAGATTTTTATCATACAAGTCTTTCATTTGTTTGGTTAGTTACCCTAGGATATTTTATATTATTTGAAGCTATTGTGATTGGTGTTTTTTCCATCGTTCCTTTCTCTGTCCATTTATTATTTGTATATATGAAAACTCTTGCTTTTTTGAGTTAATTGGGTGTCTAGCTTCTTTACTGAAAGTGTTTTACAGCTGTAAGTGTTCCCCAGTGGAATTTTTTGAGTATCTTATATAAACTATGATACCATCTATAAAGAAAGATACTTTGACTTCTTCCCAATTTGAATCCCCTTGGTCTTCTTCAGTCATCTCATTGCTCTAAGACTTCAAGTACAATATTGAATAGGTATAGGGAGAGTGCATTGCCTTGGGTTGTTCCTGACTTTAGTGGAATTGCTGATCTATTTAAGTTGATGCTGGCTAGAGGTTTTCTGTAAATTAACTTTATTGTTTCGAACTATGTCCCTTTTATTCCTTATCTCTCCAGGAGAAATTAGGCATTGAAGAGGTCTTGGAATTTTGTGGAAAATCTCTTTTTCATCTAAAGAGATGGTCACATGGTTTCTTTCAGTTTGTTTATATATTTGATTATAGTTATTGATTTACATATGTTGAACCATTTTTGTCTCTCTAGGAAAAAGCCTGCTTGGTCATGGTGGACAATTTTTTTATGTGTTCTTGGACTCAGTTTGCTAGTATTTTATTGAGTATTTTTGCATCTACATTAATAAGAGAAATTGGTCTGTAATTATCTTTCTTTGTTGAGTTTTTGTATGGTTTAGGTATCAATGTAACAGTGGCCCCATCTGATGAATTAAACAATGTCCCTTCTACTTCTATTTTGTAGAATAATTTGAGGAGTATTGGCATTAACTCTTCTTTGAAAGTCTGGTAGAATTCTGTATTAAAACTGTCTGGCTCTGGCTTTTTTTTGGGGGGGGTTTGGAGATTTTAATGACTGCTCCTATTTCCTTTCAGATTATAGGTCTATTTATATTGCTTAGCTGATCTTAACTTTGGTATCAATATCTTTTAGATTTTCCATTTTGTTGGAGTATAGGTTTTTAAAGTATGTCCTTATGATTATCTGGATTTCCTTTGTGTATATTTTTCTGTTCCCCTTTATAATTCCGATTTTGTTAATTTTATATTTTCTCACTGCCTTTTAATTAATTTGGCATAGGTTTTGTCTATCTTTTGATTTTCTAAAACAACCAGTTCTTTGTTTCATTGATGTTTTGTATTGTTCTCTTTGTTTCTATTTCATTGATTTCACCCTTGACTGGACGGCAAGAAATAATATTTTATTGTGATTTTTTTCTTTTTGATCTAGAGTTTTCAGTTGTATTGTTAAGTGGCTAGTATAACATTTTCCTGGATTTTTTTGTATGTATGTTTGTTTTTTTAATGTAGTTACTAAGTATTATGAACTTTCCTCTTACCTCTTAATAATACTCTCATTGTGTCCCATAAGTTTGGGTATGCTGTGTATCCATTTTCTTTGTATTCTAGAAAGTAATTAAATTCATTCTCAATATCTGTCCTGACCCATTTTTCATTCAGTAGGCAGTTGTTCAGTTTCCATGTGTTTATAAGCTTTCTGTTGTTTCTGCTGTTGAAATCCAGTTTTAACCCATGGTGGTCTGATAAGATGTAGGGGGTGATTTCAATTTTCATGTATCTGTTCAGACTTGGTTTGTGTCAACATATGTAGTCAATTTTAAAAAATGTTCCAAGAGTTGCAGATAAAATATTCACTTAGGTTTGGGTTAAATGCTTTTAGGTATCTACCAGATCCATTTGGTTTATAACATCTGTTAGCTCTAGCATTTTTCTGTTTAGGTTTTGTCTGGATGACCTGTCTATTGCTGAGAATGGGGTTCTGAAATCTCCTGCTATCAGTGTGTGTATTACATGATTTAAGCTGTAGCATTATTTTTTTTATAAACTGTAGTGCCCTTTTGCTTGCAGTATAAACATTAAGAATTGAAGTGACATTTTGATTGAGATTTCCTTTGATGGGTTTGGAGTATCCTTACGTATCTCTTATGATTAGTTTTGGTTGGAAATCTATTTCTTTAGATATTAAACTGGCGGCAAAGACTTACTTCTGAGTTCCATTTGCTTAGTATATCTTTTTCCAACCCTTGATCCTGAGGTAATTCTATCCTCGATGTTGAGGTATATTTCTTGGTTGCAGCAGAAGTATGGATCCTGTTTTCTCATCCATTCAGTTAGTCTGTGTCATTTATTGAGCAAGGGAGACCATGGATGTCGAGAGATATCAATGATCAATGGTTTTGATTTTCTATTATTTGCTTTTGGTGTGTGTGTGTGTGTGTGTGTGTGTGTGTGTGTGTGTGTGTGTGTGTGCGTGCTTTCCTTCTTCTGATTTTGATGGGCTGAGATTATTTATTCCCTGCCATCTTGCTGGATGCAGTGGAAACTAGGAGATTTGAACTGATAAATGAGGCAGAATAAAGCTTCATAAGTAGCCAACTTTATTCAGGATCCAGACAACTTAGACTCTCAGGGTTAAGAATGGTCACATGGGTAACATTACCATGAGATTTTGCTGGATACAATCTCAAGGTCTGGTCCCACATTAAAAACATGTTTTTCCATAGAGGCATAGAAAGGATAATTTAAACATTTAATTGAAAAATAGCAGCAAGCAGTAATGTGTGATCTGAAGTAAACTCACCCTATCTGCTACACTTGTAAGGAGCATGAAAAAACATTCCAAGAACAATTCTATGTTTTGAAGAAATTGAGGTCTTGAGACTCTTGTCTTATTTACTTGGGATGTTCTAACAAACACTCAGAATTCTTGTCATAGGAAGCTATTCCTGGGCTGTTTCCAGACAATTTCCTGGTTTCATGGTTGTAAATCACCTCTTTAGGTTGTAGTTTTTCTTATTAAACCTTCTATTGGACTGTATTTGTAGATAGATAGATATTACTTAAATTTGCTTTATCATGGAATGTCTTGTGTCTTCCCTCCATGGTGACTGAAAGTGTTACTTGGGATAGTAGTCTGGATAGCATCTGTTGTCTCTTCGAGTCTGCAGCACATCTGTCCTAGCCCTTCTGGCTTTTAGAGTCTCCTCTGAGAAGCTGAGTATAATCCTAAAAAGTCTGAATCCATATGTTACATGTCTTTCTCCCTTGCAGATTTTATTATTTAATATTCTCCCTCGTTCCATATGTCTAGTGTTTGGATTGTCATGTGCCAAGAGGACTTTCTTTCTTTCTTTTTTTTTTGTTTCATTCAGTCTTCTTAGTTTTCTATATGCTTCTTCTACTTTTAGACTCATCTGCTTCTTTAAGTTAGGAAAATTTCTTCTATGATTTTGTTGAAAATATTTTCTGTGCCTTTGACCTGTGCCTTCTCCTTTCTTTATTCCTGTTATTCTTAGAGTTTGTCTTTTCATAGTATCCTAGCTTCCCTCAATGTTTTGTGTCAGGAATGTTTTAGATTTCATATGTTCTTTGATTGATGTATCAATTTCTTTCAAATTGTCCTCAAAGCCTGTCCTCAAAGCCTGAGATTCTCCCTTACATCTTTTGGATTCTATTGGTGGAACTTGCCTCTGTAGTTCCTCTTCAAATTCCAAAAATATTCTCACCTAGTGAACGTTTTAAAACAAAAGTAATGCACTTTTACTGAAGTTATGGTATCTTTTCATAGGATAGGAAACAAAAATGAATGATCTATGTAATAATAATTCTCAAAATGTTTGACATATGAGGGAAAATGTACAATTAAACACATTTTTGATGATTTAGTAATTATAACAGACTATGAAGCTATGACAATCTACCATCAGATGGTACTGTTAGATAGTTGTCAAAATGTGTACTTTAATGAAATGTGTTATACTAAAATAATAAATAATGTGAGGAAATGCAGCTAGCCACAAAAATATGACTGCCACAGATAAAATTTAGGATTAAAAACATGTCACACAAGGGCTAATTAGATGGTTGAGCAGGTTGAAACCATTTCCTGTGTAAATATGAGGACCTACACTTGAAACCATTTGAATCAATCCTGTGACTGAAATCCTCTGAGTCCTCACCTAAGAGTCTCAGCTGAACTGCTTCAGTTCCTGTTTCCTCACACCTTATATACCTTTCTCCACCCTTCTGTCACTTCTGGGATTAAAGGTGTGTGTTTTTCCTGGTACTGGGATTTACGGTGTGTGCCACCACTGCCTGGTTCCATTTCCAGTGTGGCCTTGAACAAAAAGAATGAGGAAACAACAGGAAATGTGTGTGCTTCTGTCAGCATTTTTTGGAATTCTTTTAACATATTAGATGAGGTCCCCTGAAGTAGAATCATCCTTCAAGGAAACTAATACTATTCTGATAATAATGTACTAAGTATTTATCAATAAGAACATGAAAAGGAAAAATTTTTAATGAAACATGTCATATAAACTTGTTAATACAATTAACAATATGAAGTTATAATAGCTCACTATGATGCAAACACATTATATTTCTCTTCAAGTTCAAATTATAAATAAGCAGTTATCATAATGGATATTAAATATCCCTGACCCTCCTCTCTGGTGAGCTGTAAGGGACAACTTAATTTCACAAGAAAAGGCATTCTCACATACTTCAGTTGTCTGAATTCCATTTGTCTCCTTCTCCCAGACATTGTCTATTCACACAGTTATTTTAATTCATAGAAAGCAATTCACTGATCAAATGGTTTGTCTCTGAATTTTTTTCTATCTGTTTTCTTTTTATTGCAAGTGAAACCATGTGATTTTCCACAAATCAAAAATGGAGGTTTATATAATGCAAAGAGCCTCAGACCCTACTTCCCAGCATCTGTAGGGAAGCAATTCAGCTATTACTGTAACAGAGGATTTACGACTCCTTCGGGGACATTCTGGGACTACATTCACTGCACTGTGCAAGGGTGGGAGCCGGAAGTTCCTTGCGTCAGTAAGTCAATGTCTATATTAAATCATATCTAATTCTATCAAAAAGTAGGAAGAGAAGAACGAACACATACTTAATTATGCTTAAGTTACTCATGACAAAAATAAGACCAGGAGAACAGTTTATGTGCAAGAAAGACTAGTTTCTGTCCTTTGTGAGCAGCTCTTCGGGAAATGCACATCAAAAATAGGGACTATAAGAATGCTTTTTATAGCCGGGCGGTGGTGGCGCACGCCTTTAATCCCAGCACTCGGGAGGCAGAGGCAGGCGGATCTCTGTGAGTTCGAGGCCAGCCTGGGCTACCAAGTGAGTCCCAGGAAAGGCGCAAAGCTACACAGAGAAACCCTGTCTCGAAAAACCAAAAAAAAAAAAAAAAAAAAAAAGAATGCTTTTTATTGTTTACACATTTTATTTATAAAAATTAAGAAAAATGGTACTCTTTTAAACATTGAGCATTGGTTTGATTTTGAATGTCACGCATGCATTAAACTATAGTAAAGATAAGTTTTAATTTAGTTTTTAAATAAATGAATGCTTTTAATTTATCATCTTGTGGTCCTTAGGGCAATGTGGTTTCCATTATGTAGAGAACTGAAAGGAAGATATGTACAGGAACAGTCTGTAAGAGTCCAGTGTTATCCTGGCTACAGTCTTCCAAATGGTCAGGACACAATTACATGCACAGAGAATGGCTGGTCTCCTCAACCCAAATGCACCCCTGTTAGTAAGCAACTGCTGAGATCACAAGATGCTCTTGACTCCCCATCCCATCTATATTAACTGTGGCAAAATGCTTCTTCAAAGTGTGTATAAATGTATACTGGTATACAGCAAAGTAAACACATCTATATGCATTAGGCCATATAACAACAAAACATTTAGTAAACTTTTTTAATTTATAGTACTATAAACTTTGAGATCACTTTGCCATTTGACTCAAAACAATTATACAACTATAGTTCAAAATTAAACAAATATGATAATAGCTAAACATAATCATTCATATATTCAAGTAGTAACATGCCATTTTAAAGTACTGATAATTATCTCTGAATTCTCTGTGATATGTAACTGGCAAGGGAATTCTGGGGAACTGTGCATTATCTTGTTTTCATGGTTTTCTCCAAACTCTCGACTAATATATGTTTGTGTCAAAGTTTTTTTCTTGGTCCATATCCTTGCAAATGATTGCATGTCACACTTTATACTCATGAATAAACATCTATAAATATTACAACATAATATTGTTGATATGCATGCATTTATTATGACTTGGGTTTCCAAAAACAGTCATAGGTCAATTTGGAGATAATCATTCTAATTTTTCAAATGCAATTTTTTTCTAATTCATACATTTGTAATTAGTTTGCTGGAATGTTAAGAATTATAAAAAAATCAATCTGTTTGAGTTGTACATATCACAATTGTTTTCTTTGTTTACTTCAGACTGTCAACTTCCTTTAAGTAACCTTATTTAGATTTGATTGAAATTATCAAATTTTCAAAACAATTTTGAAATAATTAATCACATAATAATACTGTGTTTTCCTATATATGAATGTGTTATGTCTTTAAATATTTAATCTGGTTTTAAAATTTTGTCAAATGTCTTCTCTTATACCATTTTGCTGATAAGAAACTTAGCTTTATTCTTTTTTAGATAGCTTAGTCATTGACTTACCTAAGGCTTTTATTGCTGTGAAGGGACACCATAACCATGGCAATTCTTTTCTTTTTCTTTTTTTTAATTATTAAGAAATTTTCTATCTACTTTACATACCAACCATGGATTCCCCCCCAACTTTCCCCCCAACCCACTCCCAATCCCCACATTACCCAAATCAAGGTCTTCCACTGGGAGTCAGCAGAGTCTGGCACACTCAGCTGAGGCAGGTCCAAGCCCCTCCCTGCTGCACCAAGGCTGTGCAAGGTGTCACACCCTAGACACTGGGCTCCACAAAGCTCACCCATGCACCAGAGATGGATCCCCAACCCCTTCCTGTGGGACCCCCCAAACAGTTCAAGCTAAACAACTGTCTCCCATATCCAGAGGGCCTAGTCTAGTCCTATGGGGGCTCCACAGCTATTAGTCCACAGTTCATGGGTTTCCACTAGTGTGGCTAGTCATCTCTGCATGTTTTCCCATCATGATCTCAAAGTACCCTGCCACAGAATCCCTCCTCTCTCTCATCTATTGGATTCCCAGAGCTCAATCTAGCTCCCGAACATGGATCTCTGTATCTGCTTCCAACAGTCACTAGATAAAAGTTCCATGATAACAAACAGTTAGGGTATTCACTAGTCCGGGCACCAGAGTAGACTAGTCCAGGCACCCTCTTGATCATTGCCAGTAGTCCAAGGTGGGATCATCCTTGTGAATTCCTGAGAACTTCCCCAGCACCCTACCTCTTCCCATTCCCATGATGTCTTCATTTATCATGGTATCTCTTTCCTTGCTCTCCCACTCTGTCCCTGGTCCAGCTCAAACCTCCCATTTCCATATGTTCTCATCCCCCATTCTTTGCCTTCCATTACTGCCACACACTCCCAATTTGCTCATGTAGATCTCATCTATTTCTCCTTCACTGGGCAATCTATGTGTCCTTCTAGGGTAGTCCTTGTTATCTAGCTTCTCTGCAGCTATGTGTTGTAATTTGGTTATCCTTTGCGTTACATCTCATACCCACTTATGAGTGAGCACATATCATGTTTGTCCTTCTGAGTATGTGTTACCTCACTCAGGATGATATCTTCTAGTTCCATCCATTTGCCTGCAAACTTCATGATACCATTGCTTTTTTTTTTAACTGCTGAGTAGTACTCCATTGTGTATATGTGCCACATTTTCTTTATCCATTCTTTAGCTGAGGGGCATCTAGGTTGTTTCCAGGTTCTGGCTATTACAAATAATGCTGTTGTGAATATAGTTGAGCATGTGTCCATGTGGAAGGATTGAGGATTCCTTGGGTATATGCCCAAAAGTGGTATAGCTAGGACTTGAAGAATACTGATTCTGAATTTTCTGAGAAACCACCATACTGATTTCCAGAGTAGCTGTACAAGTTTGCATTCCCACCAAGAGTGGAGGAGTGTTCCCCTTATTCCACATCCTCCCCAACATAAGTTATCTTCAGTGTTTTTTATCTTAGCCATTCTGATAGGTGTAAGATGGTATCTGAGTTGTTTTGATTTGCATTTCCCTAATGACTAAGGATGTTGAGCAATTCCTTAAATGTCTTTCAGCCATTTGAGATTCTTCTGTTGAGAATTCTCTGTTAAGTTCTGTAGCCCATTTTCACTGGATTGTTCAGTATTTTGAAATCTAGTTTCTTGAGTTCTTTATATATTTTTGAGATCAGCCCTCTGTCAAATGTGGGGTTGGTGAAGATATTTCCTATTCTGTAGGCTGTCATTTTGCCTTATTGATCATGTCCATTGCCCTACAAAAGCTTCTCAGTTTCAGGAGGTCCCATTTATTAATTGATTCTCTCAGTGTCTGTGATACTGATGTTATATTTAGGAAGTGGCCGCCTGTGCCAATGCATTCAAGACTACTTCCTACTTTCTCTTCTATTAGGTTCAGTGTAAATGGATTTATGTTGAGGTCTTTGATCCACTTGGACTTGAGTTTTGTGCAAGGAAACAAACATGAATCTCTTTGCAATCTTCTACATGTTGACATCCAGTTATGCCAGCACCATTTGTTGAAAATGCTTTCTTTTTCTATGGTACAGCTTTTGCTTCTTTGTCAAAAATCAGATGTTCATAAGTGTGTGGATTAATGTCAGGGTCTTCAATTTGATTCCATTGGTCCACATGTCAATTTTTATGCCAGTACCAAGCTGTTACTATAGCTCTATAGTAGAGCTTGAGGTCAGGGTTCGTGATACCTCCAGAGGTTGCTTTATTATATAGGATTCTTTTAGCTATCTGATTTTTTCCCATATATAGTATTGTTTATAAAGTATAAAGTATTGTTCTTTCCAGGTCTGTGAAGAATTGTGTTGGGATTTTGATGGGGATTGCATTGCATATGTAGATTTCTTTTGGTAAAATTGTCATTTTTACTATGTTAATCCCATCTATCCATGAGCATGGGAGATCATTCCATTTTCTGAGATCTTCTTCAATTTCTTTCTTCAGAGACTTAAAGTTCTTATCATACAGGTCTTTCACTTGCTTAGTTAGAGTTACCCCAAGATATTTTATGTTATTTGTGGCTATTGTAAAAGGTGATGTTTCTCTGATTTCTTTCTCAGCCCCTTTTTCATTTGTATATAGGAGGGCTACTTATTTTTTTTTTGAGTTAATCTTGTATCCTGCCACATTACTGAAGGTGTTTATCAGCTGTAGGAGTTCCTTGGTAGAAATTTTGGGTCTCTTATGTATACTATCATATCATCTGCAAATAGGGAAAGTTTGACTTCTTCCTTTCCAATTTGTATTCCCTTGATCTCCTTTTGTTGTCTTATTGCTCTAGCTAGAACTTCAAGTACACACACACACACACACACACACACACACACACACACACACACA